GTCCCTTGGACTGCAAGGAGATCCAACCAGTCCATCCTAAAGGAGATCAGTCCTGGGTGTTCATTGGAAGGACTGATGTTGAAGCTGAAACTCCAATACTTTGGCCACCTGATGCAAAGAGCTGACTCATTTGAAAAGACCCTGATGCTGGGAAAGATTGAAGGCAGGAGTATAAGGGGACAACAGAGGATGAGATGGTTAGATGGCATCACTGACTCAATGGACATGAGTTTGGGTAAATTTCCGGAGTTGGTGACAGACAGGGAGGCCTGGAGTGCTGCGGTTCATGGGGTCGCAAAGAGTCGGACACGACTGAGTGACTCAACTGAACTGAATCCTGAATCTGCTGCTCTTCTCTGGCCTTAGCTCTCCACGTGTCCTGTCTCCAGCAGCAGTACTCTGTTGTCTCCCTGAACACATCTTCCATTCCATGCTTATGTGTCTTTGCTTATGCCATTCACTTTATAGCAGCTCCCCATTCCCCTTCTTCATTTACTCATCTTTTAGGTCTCAAGGCAGGTATCACTGCCTCCAAGATGCCTGCCATGACCAAATCAGGATTTTTTTCACACAAGTAGTTCGAAGAGATTATTGTAATACTGCAGTTTAGTAAATCATTAACAAAATAGCTCTGGTAAAACATAAATTGTCTGTTTGAGTTTTTTATCAGCCAATATGTCATGTGCCTAACAGACACAAAATCTTAATTCTATCTCTGACTCTTCATTCTTCATTCTCTTCCTTAACCCTTAACCATCCTTGACTTTGAACTTTAAATAATCCTTTATGTTTAAGTCATTTCTGTAATTTATTTTACCTTTGAGTCTCCACCCACTCCTGTTTAATTCCCTATCTAAGCCTCACCCATTTCCCAACACCCACACCAGGGAAAAGAGAACCAGCAGTAGGGTGTGGCTCAGGGATAGGGTACAGGATAACTTGTTTGTATGGTGTGGTTAAATAACTATTAAAAGGCTCAAGAGTTTATTTTGTTTGAGGTTTTTTTCCTTTACCATTTTAACCATAAATTATTATCAAAAGAAAAAACGTAAAAGCTAAGTATTCAGCTTTGTGAATAATAACAAATAGCTATATAACTACTATCAAGACATAAAATATTAATAACAGTAGTACAGAAGGTTCCCCATATTCTCCACATGCATGAACATAATTTCTCTATCCACCATAGAGATGTTTGTATGGACATAATCCTTCCCTTCCCTTAGAGGTAAACCTTATCCTGCATATTTCGTAATAATAATTGTTCTGCTTTTCTCTTTAGTTTACCACATAGTTCCTAAACAATGTGGTTTAGTGGGTTTTGTTTTTGTTTTTCTACTTTAAATAAATGGAATCATGTTTTATATACATTGTTCATATAGCTTTTTATTTTTGGTCATCATTATATAAGATTCATCCATGTTATATATACCCATAGTTAGCTCATTTTCATTGCTGTATGATATTCATTGTCTCAACACACCACAAATCTTTCATCTGTTCTAGAGTTGATGAGTTTGGGGGTGGGTTTTGTTCAGTTTTTAATGAGTTTTGGTTTCTTTTTTTCCTTTATTGGAATATTTTTTATAAGCTTTATTTAAATATAATTGATCTATAGTATTGTGTAGGTTTAAAGTATATATGTGTTGATTTAATATATGTTAATACCTCTATTACCTCATACAGTTATATTTTCTTTTTGTGGTAAGAATATTTAAGATCTACTCTCTCAGCAACTTTCAAGTATTTGGTAGAGTATTGTTAACTACTATAACTATGCTATAAAATAGACCCCAAGAACTTATTCATCTTATCATTGAAAATTTGTACCTTTGACCAACATCTCCCCATTTCACCCACTGCTCAGCACCTTGTGAGCTGTTTCATCATTCTACTGTTTCTATGAAATCAGCATTTTTAAATTCCACATGGAAGTGAGATCATACTATATTTGTCTTTCTCTATCTGAGTTATTTCACTAAATGTTTATGTATATCACATCTTTATCCAGTCTTCCATTGATGGACAGTTAGATTATTTCCATATCTTGGCTATTGTAAATACTGCTGCAATAAGCACATGAATGAAGGTATCTCTTCAATAGATGTCTTGTTTCCTTCTTTCATATACACCCAGAAGTGGGATTGCTGGATCTTGTGATAGCTGTATT